AGCCACAGAATTTCTGCTAGACTGTGAAGATTAAAGAAAGACCTATTAGCACATGATCTTGAGTAATTGGGTCATCACCAAATAAATGATTCAGAGACTTAGGCCAAGAAACTCAAGAGATTGAAAATCCAAGACTAAAAAACACAATGAAGCAAAATTCAATAGAATAGTAACAGTAGACCTTAGGGTTTTCAAAAATCCACAGAGGAAAGGAAGGAGGAGGATGAAAGAAGGAGAGCGGAGTTATCAAGAGAGCAAATTGGGCATCAGTGCTAAAGAAAGAATATAGCAAGAGAAGGAAAGCTTTCCAAACCTGGAGAAAAATATCCAGATACGAGAGGATGAAAAATTACCAAGCAGTTCAATCTAAAACATTGTAGACGATATTGAAGGACAACATTGAGGGGGTTGCTAGTATTCCTTAGAGGCCATGAGAGTATGGAATGCCATATTCCAAATGCTTCAGAGGGAAAAAAAATGTTAGCCAATAGTACTATGCCCAGCAAAGCTGTCTTAGAATAGAAACACTGAGGGATGCTATTGAGTATAAGATTCAAAGTAAATACCAGATTCTGAAAAAATCATTTGTATCTTAAAAAGATAATTAGTAACCAAAACTACAATAATTTGTTAAGGAATATGAAATATTAATTTCAATACTAAACAAAGAATAGAGTGATAGTATCTGAAAAATAGTTAGAAGTTCTTGGAAAAGCTCTGGTAACATCCTATAATACATATACTAAAACCAGAAAGCAAAAAATCAAAACATACTAGCAAGACAATTATTTAACTACAAAGGACAGATTCTACATCATAAATGGAAAACAATAGTAGTATTATTCCCTACCTATTAATAACTATTAGACTTGAATGTACATTTAATGGGTCCAATTAAAATACCAATAAACAAAACAAGACCCATGCTGCCTAGAAAAAGAAGGAATAGAAAAAGATATTTCATGCAAATAGAAACTACGAGAGACCAGGAATCATTAGACTGAAGTCCAAAAACAAAGAATATTTTATGTGTGTTTATATATATATGGAGCTCAATTCAGCAAGAGACTATAGCAATAAATAAAGATGTCTCCGGGACCAGCAGTTAGTGTAATGGCTATTCGCTGGACTCCCACGTAGCAGACCGCGGTTCACATCCCAGACCCAGTGGCTTAAAACTCACGCTGGGCGCATGTGCGTGTGTGCCCAAGATCCTGAGAGGAGGATGGAGGAGAAGGGATTGCAGCGTGACCACCCCCCTTGGGGGTGATTTCTCGCTTTCTGTCTCTCTGTCTGTCACTGTCTGTCTGGTGAGCACACGTGCCCTATAGCAAAAAAAAAAAAAAAAAAAAAAAAAAAAATCCCCCACCCCAAAGCACCAAAACACATTTACACGTGCCCTATAGAAAAAAAAAAAAAAAAAAAAAAAAAAAAGATGTCTCCAGCACTAGAGCACTGAACTATATATAGCCAATATTAATGAACCTAATAGAAGAGAGAGACTTCAGAATATACACAATTAAGCCACCAAACACATTTTATGATGAGCAAATACCTATCAACACGTGAACCACCATGGAGAAAGACAAAAATGTCTTTAGCCATGGGATTAAAATGTCTTGAGCCATGGGACTATAACATACTGAAATGTATGAAATACAGCAAAAACACTTTTAAGAAGGAAGTAAAAGTACAAATTATAGTACACAAGATTAACAAGAGTTCTTTACCAAGACAAACAGAAAACACTAGTATCAGACAAGAATGGCAAATATCAGCTGATACCCTAGAAATATAAAGGATCCTAAGATACTACTTTGAGCAACTGTCTATCAATAAATTGGATAACTTACAAAATCTTGGTTACATTTCTGGACACCTACACGATTGAACAATAGCAGGTAAGGAGACAGAATCAGTCCTAAGGAGCCTCTAGTACATAACAGCTCAATGGTGCTGAATTCTGAATTAGCAAACATTTACAGAAGAAAAAACACCAGTTCTTCTCAAACTCTTCCAAAACACTGAAGACCAAGGAAAACTTCTAGACTCATTCAATGCCAGCATTACCCTGATACCAAAAACCAACATAAAGGCCCCATCATGGTGGTGTACGCTGCTAAAATACTTTATGAAATCTCTGAGCACATTAAAATACAACTTATAAATGTAGGACCCTCCACTGTGAAGCTATGAGAATAAAATGGAGGAAAAGGTCCCTGACATTGATCTGACCAATACTTTGAGGGATAAGACCTCAAAAGCACAGGCAACATAAGCAAACAAATGTGTTTCTATCAGACTAAAAAGTTCTACACAGCAACAGCACAACCAGAAGAATAAGGGACAACCTAAAGAATGGGAGAAAATATTTACAAACTATCTATCTAACAATGAGTTACTATACAAAATGTATACAAATCTTTAGCAACTCAACAGCAAGAAAACAATTCAACTTGAAAAATGGGCCACAGATCTGAATAGACATTTCTCAAAAGCATGCATATGAATGCCCACCATGTGAAAAATGTTCATCATCATTCATTGCTGGGGCACTAAAAATCACAACCTTAGTGAGATGTCACCTCACTGAAATCAGAGTGTCTATTATCTAAAAAGATAACGAGCGTTGATAACGATGTAGAGAAAAGAGAACCTTTTTTCTTTCAGTGGGAGTAAATTAATACAGTGATTATGGCAGAGTTCAGTTTTTAATTTTTGGAGGATACTTCACACTATCCAACAATGCAGCAACCCCAGTACTGGATGTACAAAAAGAAAGAAATTTGTTTGTGAAAGAGATTGGCACTCACAAAGACAGCATGTGGAATCAACCAATGTGCCCATCACAGATGAACAAAGAAAATGTGACATAGACACACAATGGGATATCGTTCAGTTACAACAAAGGCAAACCTGTCACTTGTGACAACATGGATGAACCTGGAGGACATTCAAGAAATAAGCCACACACAGAAGGACAAATGCCACATGTACTCACTCATATGTAAAAAGAACAGGGTTGATCTCAGAAGAATAGAATGATGGCTACTAGGGCAGAAAGTCCTTCGGTGGGGTGGAAGGGATGGGAAGGTGTTGTCATAATTACAGTTAGATAATAGCAATACATTCAAGAGATCTATGGCACATCAAAGCAAAGATAGGTAATGATAACACAGTATACTAAATTCTTAGAAACACAGAGAATACTCTCATACCAAACTCAGAGCTATATGACTAAGGCATTAGCTAGATTTTCAAATTTCACATACACTTCAAAACATCATGTTGTGCACAATACATAGATACAACATTATCTGTCAATTAAAAAAAATTAAAGAATAAAAAAAAAGGCCTCCAGGCTTCTACTTCTAGAACAGAGCTGAGCACTAGCTGCTGCTTCATCTTCATGTATGAGTGTGGAGTGAGTGAGTATATGGCTTTGAGTCATTCTGTTTAGCTTCTGGGTAAATACTCCAGTGCCTGACCAAGTTGGCCAATTCTAGGTCTCATAGGGGGCCTATTCATTAGATGCAAATACTTCAGTGTTACCCAAATTCTTTGGTCCTCCTTTTACTCACCTGTAAATTGGGGTTAATAATCTGCCTAGAAACCAGTTTATATTTGGTACACAATATGTATTACCATCATGAATGATGACCCCAAGTATTCCTATTTTACAATAAAGTTTTCAAATCATTAGTTCTCTTTGCCTTAGACTAAAAGAATAAAACATTCATAACAGAGTGACTTCACCATGGAGATAGTCATTTAACAATCCATTTGGTCTGGGCTGGGATTGATAGGGTTGTTGAGTGCAGAAATAGCAGAAGAATCATCCTTCTTAAAGGGCACAAAGTAGATATTGTTTTAGGGCAAATATCCCTTCCCCTGAAATCTATAATGTTATTTCATGAGTGTGCATGTAAAAGGCTTTAGAGTCTATGAGTTGGTCACCTAGTCGAGGGTCTCATACCCAACCCCTCGATGTCTGTCCACTATGGAGAAATAAATCAGGCAACGTTAGCTTTGAAGGAGGCTTAAATTCAAATGCATAGGCATTCAGACAGGCAGAGGAAGGAAGGAACATGCTGTACCCACCTGCCACTGCTGATGAGGGGCTTATTTCTAAGACACACACAGCACAATGCACACACAATGCAGAGAGAAAACAAAAGACATAGATCACACATTTCAGATGGTTGGTGGACAAAGTTTAGGTCATGTCAATGCTGAAAGCTTGTTCAGGGCCTGGGGTACACATGGAATAAACGGAGCCCTCTTCCCACTTATGAGATGTTTCCCTCTGACCAGACCTCAGTAAATACACACATGCAATAGCATGATGAGTTGGCCAATGGTGTGAAATGTGGCATGGGGAAATGGACACACCAGGTGGAAAGATGGAATGAGAGATAAGGGCTTCACAAGAGACCAGTCTGGTTCCTGAAATGTCCCCATCCACACAGGAAGGAAAGTCCTTCACAGAAGAGTCAGGCTCCAGGTGTGGACAGAGCAGTCATCTGAGGAAGACCCGACTTTGCTCCATTCACCCCCAGCATGAGCACATGGCATGGCAAGGAACATGAGAATCATGATGGTGCCAGCTGACTTGGATTTAAAACTATAAATGTAACCCCTCAAATTGTAGACTTTTACTATAGAAGGTGTCTTAAAAGTATACCTTATTTATCCCCCAAAGACCTCCAGGTAGTTCTACAACATAACTGTCTTACGGCTCCATCTTTAGGGAAACCACTAGTCAGCTTCATTGAGTTTGGCTCCCTCCTTTTGTAAGGGGCAAATCTTGCCTGTCCAATTACCTTGAAAGGTCACTGCATGGCATGCTGCAGGATGACAGGGAGAAGTATGTCTTCTCTACGCATGGAGAGTTGAGCAGTGTGGATGGACATGGGCCAAGCAGTCATGCTGTCGTCCCTCCCAAGTGCCTCCAGCTCCCCACATGGCCGAGCCCATGCAGCTGGAATTCCTGCACTCACCATACAATGTGATGCTCGCATTGGTGTTGCCAAGCTTGTTTGTGGCCACACAAGTATAGTTTCCATAATCCTTTTCTGAGACGTTGAAGAAAGTCAGAGTGGATATGCGGCCTTTGTTCTCAATCCTCACTCCATCCAGGCCAGTGGCTAACCTGCAGTGAAACACACAGCTGGTCTGTTTCTACAGAGAGACTGAGGAAGAAAGTATTGGACAAGCCAAAGGTACCGCAGAGTAATCCTAAAAGCAGGCCTTCCTTCATAGGAAATCTGCTTCTTTAACCCAGATCCTCTAACTCAAATCATAAGTATCACAGCCTCTATCAGGAGAAGAACAGAGGAAAGTCATGCTCAAAACTGCTCAAAGCACTAACTTCCCTGGCTTCTAGTCAGAAAAGACCACCATGTCTACAACTAATCTCATCTCAGATTTCCATATGAGGTCAATTCATTCTACTTCCCAGCTTCTCGCTATGTTTCTTTCCTGACTCTAAAAGGAGGCTCTGTTACAGAGGAGGCCGTAATGCAGTTTGGTCTTGCCCCATCTCTCCCCTTACTTCACGTCCTTCCACGTGGGGAATGATCATCATCTCTGCTTTAGAGCTGTCCTCGCTGCATTTGCAAGTTACCTGGTATCTTCCTTAAACCACTGGAATTCAGCTGTGGGGACTGCAGAGGCCTCACAGCTCAAGATGCCCTTCTGACCAACGGAAACTCCAGTGTTCTTGGCTTTGGAGATATAGGGAGGGTCTGTGGGAAAAACACACACACACACTTGTGGGGTGATTTTGTGAAGGAGACAAAAGGCACATTTGGCCACTGCCTATATAAATGGGTTTCTTGGAACACCCCTGCTTCCCAGGATAATAACCATTTATTTTAGGCAAAGAACGTCTTGCTTGGGTATATGACATTTACACCTGCATCGTCTTCAGGCCTTCAAACTGAATCTACGTTCACACTTCTCTCCACTTGCTGAGAGCTCTGACACAGAAGACGCCAGGGACACACAAGACAGGGACATTATTGGGGCAGAGCAAGCAGGCAAAGAACATTCCCACTGGAAAACCTGCTTGGCCTCTCAGACTGGCATGGCCATGACCAACTGGTCACCTTAACCCCCACGCCCTCTTTGCCCTCCACACAGTGGTCCACTCACAGTTTACAGTGATTTTCACTTTTCTCACGTCAGGTGCGGCGACGTCGTTCAAGGCGCTGCACTCGTACTCCCCAGACTGGTCACGTTTGATGTCAGAGATTTCCAGGTACTCATCCTCACTCACAAAGCCCTGGCCTTCTGGGAAGAAACACACAGGCAGGAAGTAATTGAGAAAACAGAGCCAGGTCCATATTCACGTGTGAAGGTTTTTCACGTGTGAACGTTTTGGGGGAAGCAATAGGGAAAGCCACAGTAATAGTACTGGAACTTCAAGTGAAGGCAGATGGCCTGTGTTGGCCAGAAGTAAGGTGACAGAATAAAGGACTAGTCTACTCTGCTTGTCTTACAGCTCTGTGTTTGGGGCCAGATCACTTGAAATCTCCAGAGCATTTGCTCAGAGACGGAGAGCATTGCCTTTATTCTATGATTATTATGAGGATTAATGAAGAAAGTATATGATGAATATCCCGGCACATGACTAAACTTTGATATTTTTAAAATAACTGGTAAATAAAATAAAACTGTGAAATAATGCTGAGCTATGTTAGTAGAGACGATCTCTCATTCACTGTGTAGAAATAATTCACTATATAGAAATGGCTTTAGATACAAAATACAAACTACAAATGATTTATGGCAAATGTGAACATTTTGTATTTTTTAAGTTTCTTTCTGAGGTTGCAAAATTGGCATGCTTTCAACCAACCTTATGAGCTCTCGCAAGAAGAGTCACTTCTACCTTATTCCCGTGGTGCTATGCAAAGCAAACAGCCTTTCCCTATTTAAACACGAATATCCTGAGTCTGGCTCAACAATGGGCTCCTGTGGAAACTCCTGCCAAGAGATGGTGGAGAAGGCACTTCTGTTTCCTTGCTCACCGACCCACTGCCTGATTCCTTCTGTGCTCTGCGCATTGTGTTGAAATTAGTGTTCAGGACCATAAATACTGACAACTTCCCCTCCAACCCTGTAAAAGTATATGCTGACCCTGAGACCAAGTCTGGCCCTGCATTGGATGGAATGGAAAGATGGTGTGTCTATGGGTGAGGGGACCAGGAGACAGGTGCCCTGTCAATTCCATTCTGCTCCAAGGCCAGCCCCAGGGGGGCTTCCAACACCCAGCCTGCCCTTCATTCAGACCACTGTCTTTTGGCTCTCACTGCCTTCCCTGCCTCCCCTACCCCAGGTCATGTCCACCCAAGATATACCAACACAGTCTGGGGATGGCCACTCTGGCCATCCCTAGACGGTATGGGCCCAGACACGCAGTTTTTCTGGGGTCCCTAGTAACTCCAGTCACCACCTTTCTGGTAGCCCGATTTTGTATAGTTTCATGGAAGAACTACTGCATTAGCCAGCAAGAGCTATCATCTGTTAAGTGACCCTCCTAGAACCTGCATATGGTATGAGGACAGCCCACAGGTGTGAGGCTCAGGGTCATTGAGGAATCCAGCTGAACCTATGTGAAGAGTGGCTCAGGGTACAGGATAGAAGAGTCCTTGAAGGGCAGAGATGGGGCCTGAGGCAGCAGCCACACACACCCAGCCTGGCATCTGAGTACCTCCCCTGAACGGTTGGCCCCAGCTGGCCCCATACGTACGTATCTACGCCCTATTTACTAAAGCAAATGAGCTGCCTCCAGTGGGCTGGTCAGGATCCTCAGGCCTGGGCACTCTTTGCCTCTCCTTAGAGAGAAAGGGAAAGACTCGGACCATGACGCAGAGCACACACAGACCGGAAGTCTTCAGAGGCCCCAGTGAGCGCCATCTGTGAATGTCAGCCTGTGAGCGCCGACTGGCTCACAGGGAAGCCGTGCTTCACAAGATGGGGGTCATGAGCCTTTATATAAGCAAGACCCATCCTGGGCACTTTTCAGGGAACTAGGACAGCATGGCTATCTCTGCAATGCATAGACTTATTTTCACGAGCTATAACACTGTTTTATGGGGCAATTATGTGACAGCAAAAGAAAAAAAAGGGAAAGTACATTTTACGTAAAATGGGGATCGTTAGTGTGATACTACTTCATTAAGAGAGAAAATGAATTTCGTCAAGTTTGTACAATAAAGTAAGTGCTCAGATTTTGATTCGCATATAAATTCCTCAGGGGATTGAGAAAAATAAAGACTGATCCAATGATCTGGGGTGGGTCTGCCTTCCTGTAGATTCTGCTCTGGCAGGCCAGGTCAGGGCCCAGGGGTTGCATTCCCCACAGGTGCCAGGGGCAGACTGTGCTGCAGGGGAGGTGGGCACTCATAGCGGGGAAGCCACAGGCCACCACCAGTCATTTATTGGCACAGAATCCCCCCGAAAGGGATCAGGAAACATGCCAGGCCTGGCCTTCCAGGTGCCTCTGGCTGTTTGCAGGACATCAGAAAGCCCTCACTCTCATGTAGCACTGTGCAGGTCTGGGCCCTGGTCAGCTCGTTTGAACATACAGCAAGCACCCCTTGTGCCCACAGGCAACCTGTACCTTAAAAGACACCATCTTGGGATTCAGAGCCCAGCAGGACACAGGCTGAGTGTCAGAATCCTTGCACCCATGTTTCCATCAGCTCTTACAGTCTTATGACCAAACATGCATCTTCCCCCTGCACAGGTTTCCGTGTTAAAATGGGAAGAGAATGTTGAAACTCCTCTTCAGCCCAGGACCAATGGAGGTGATTTAGACGCTGTTTCCTCCACTATTTTGAAGGCTGGAACCAATCTAAGTTGCTAAATGCCGGAAGATGGGGACACTGCAGGGTTCAGTGCTTTCCCTGCCTCTCCAGTGTGGGTTGCAATGGAAAATTCTGATTCCATGCTGCAGAGGAAGGGCAGGAGGCAACGGATGTTTTAATCCTCTTTGCTAGCTGCTAGGAAGCCAAATTGCTGACTGTGGAGTTAGAGGAAAATGGGCAGGGCGAAGCCCAGAGTAGAAAAGGAGCAGAAGAAGAGATGAAGAAGAAGGATACATGGAAGTGAGGAAGGACAGACAGACAGAGGGAGGGCCTAAGAGACACAGGGAAGATTCTGAAGATGTATCCATAAGGTATATATATATATATATAAAAAAGCCAGGTTAAGGAAGCTGGATGCTATATAGGTGACTGTGAGTTTGAATCCCAGCCCCAGAGATTTGAAGAACACCATGTCATGTCCTCAAACCTGACAGATGGAGAAGTGGAGAGGATTGCAACGTGACCTTACCCCACTGCAGGTGTTCTCTCCCTCTCTCTCACTCTGTGTCTCTGGCAAGCACGGATACACTATGACAATTAGACTTTTATTTTTTTTTAACAGAAAAAAAGACAGAGTCTGTGATTTTTTTCTGATAAAACAGGAGAGTCCATCCTGCCCCACACGTTGGTTTCATGCTGAAATGCCCTGTAATAAGCTAAGACTAGCCAAGATGTACAAAGTGCCCACTCTAAGCTCTCCGGTATCCCAGGAGAATGTGGTTGGAAGCAACAGAAAGTAGATTGTGATGCACTGGCAGAAACACATAAAAAGGTGGGGGTATTTCTCTCTATGGAAGGAGCTTTTCAAAGATGTAAGTTCAGTTCACTGCATGGGCAAGATTAAGATTTGCCACATTACAAAAGGAGCCATTTATCATACCATGTAGGAGGCCATCTCCTTGGATGCAGGGTGCATGCTTGGGGGTAGGGTGGGTAACCCTGCTGGTTCTGTAGACCTCAGGGGGCTTCTGCTGTAGGTGCATGCTGAAGGTACACACATTTGGACCTAACATGGTCACAGAAAACAGGAAACAAACAACCTGTAACAACCATGAGCAGAGTTGGTCCAACCGAGGAAGGATGAGCAGGGAGAAGAACCAGCCCAGAAGGATCCCTGACTGCGCTTTTCTGACCGCACCTGCAGTCACTTCCCTCCTATGAGGAGTCGGGTGCTGCATCAGACACAGGGTGGTATGGACAGAGGTGACCTAGAACACAATGTCCTCCTCCTTGAGTGGTCCACAATCTCCTGAACTCAAAATAGTTTACATTTTCTCTGTACTTTAGGCTTGGTTTTTCAGTTCTTAGTTGTTTCTAGATCCTTTAAGTAAGGAATAGTGGGTCAGAAAGATTTATTAGAGCTGGAAGAAACCTAAGCATTTGGGGATAAAGAGATCAAACAGGAAAACCAGAGCAAAATCTGCAGGCTTCTGACCTACCTCCTTTCTCCTTGTACGCCCCGTCCTTCCATGACAACCATGTCTCTGCCATCAATCACTCTTGCATCCATTCCCATCTATTTCCTCAGCCAATTCCTCAGAATTACAGAGCCGGAAGTACCACAAGGGGCCAAACGATTTAGCCTCCTGCTTTTTTGGATGATTGTCCCTGACAGAATATCTCCTCTTCTCCCTGAATACCCACAGGGACAATTTTAGGAGGTGGCTTCTCCCTCAGCAAGACTATTCACATCGTCAAAACAAATCATTTTTATGCAGAGGCAAACCCCGCCTGGTGCCTTCCTCTGAAACAATTAAAAGTCACCCCCTCGTTGTCCCTGTGCCCACCACCCCCTCAATCTGTTAGGAACACCTGTGCTCTATCCATGGAAACTGTTCTGTGAGGTTACATGTCAGCACTTGTCACAGCTTCTGCCATGAGACCTGTCAGGAGGCGACGTGTAGAGGAAGATGCCTGTGGGGCTCTGCCATGGGAGAGGAGCAGAGAGCGGGGCTGAGCATTTCCAGAGATGAAGACGGAGGACAGGAGCGGCCAGAGGGGGCCTAGGTGAGTGGGGAATGTGGGCACCCCTGTGTCCTCTTGGGTTCTGGAAAAATAAGTTTCCTTCTGCCCAGCAAGAGGGACGGCCGTAGATGGGCCCCGTCAATGCCGAACTAGGACGTTTGGACTGTGATGATCCAAGTGACTGTGTGCTTGCCCCACGCCCGGTAAGCCCAAATTAGGCTTGGGATCCATCTGGAAAATAGCCTTTTACCCAGTCACCAAAGTCAGGCCGTAACTCAGGTTATTGAGAAGCAAAGGTTTGGCCAGCGCAGAAGTGCGGAGGTAAGGCACTGCTCAACCGTCTGGATGACAGGCCCTGTTCTCCTGAAGACCTGGACCCAAGGGGTGCACGCGCTTGCCATCTACTGGCCGGGACGACTTTGGTCATGCTGTGAGATCCGGGGAAGGTGCTTG